CCCATCGTGTGGCTAGGGCAGCTCACCAGAAGAAAGGATGGCACTCAATAGGGGGCCCTTAGAAAGACCCATGCATCTCAGCGATGGCCGAAAGGTGGTCTCACCGGTTGGGATACTAGCCATTATTGCTGCCTGCATAGTGGCCGTTATGGCGGCCACCTCTGAAAGTCGATAGGCCAGCCTGATACTACGGTAGAAGCGAACTTAACGTGGCTATCGAACCGAAAAGGCTTTTATACTAGCTTCCTTGCAGCCATCACACTTTTATGAACTTGCGTCTTGGTTGCGTGGCATCGGGAGTTAGGATTTTAGTTCCGCTAGGCTTACTACGCGCTTCAGCTAGTAGTGTTACCATATTACTCGCCCGCGGAGAATTAAGCGACATACAACATGTAGCGTAAAAAACGAACCAATAGATTGTGTTCATTTTTGCAGAAGGCAGGGACGGTGGGCAAGACAAAGCCCTTAGTTTTTGGTGCGGGACTATGTCTTTTCTCTCGCATAGGAGCGAGCTTTCGTCTTCGCAAGTAAGGCGTATAGCTCAAAACTAGTTATAGCGCAAAATGTGAATGAAAGGAAATCGATGCCCTCTTAACTCTACACCTAGTAAAGTCCGGCTCGGCCTTAACTACTAGCGTTAGTACTAATGGCGGTAGTGGATCGAGCCTTAGACCTTCCTAGACTTTGTGGCTATAACTAATATTTATACCCACCATAGCTCGAAGGAAGTCTCTACCGAATTATTAGCCTTAGCTAAAAAGTGAATTAAGCCGTTCCTTACGCGTTCTATAGCTTACTCGTTGCGACTTGGCGGGTCATCGGCGGGGAATGCTGGAAGTAGGGCGTTAAACGTTTCTATCGATGTAAGGTCCTCTAGTAGTGGACGTAAGGCCGAGGTTGTATAGATTTCTAGATAGTCGGAGTAGTTTTATAGATGGAAAGTTATATCCCTAATATTAGTGTACTTACTTAAGACTGCACCTCGTCGACAGCGGGTTTTAATGCCTTCTTTAGGTAAGAGATCGAAATTCTTCCTCGTTCTATCATTATGGGCAGGGCTTAGTAGTAGTCTAGTTTTACGAGCTGCGAGGTGTGTCCCATAAAGAATATTATCTATCTCGATTCGTTTAATAAGCTCGTTTCGCGAGAGGTCTAAGAGATTATATATCCTATTAACTGGTGTGTAGGGGAAGAGCTTATGTAATATGGCCTAATATTTCTTAAGCGCTCGAGTAGTCTCGGTGGCACTATATCGAGGTAAGCAAATGCGTATAGGGGGTGAATAACGACCTACACCTTAGAAGATCTACGTTTTCTCTTCGGCTTCGTATAGTAGCAATAGGCTATTTGGCGATACAATTAGCAACTCTTACAAGGAAGCTTACCGTTACAGCGGGTTTTACGCTTACGGTATACTTTATATACCATAATACTATAAGCTCTCTTCTTGGGAGGGAGGGGGGAGGCTTCTAAATCTAGCGCTTAGAAATTATATAGCTACGGCGATAATGGACTATTAACTAAGGATAAGTAGAATGAAATTAATATCTATTTAATTATAAAATTTAGCCCCCGACGGATTACCTATTAGCTCCTAATTCTCTACTAATACTTCCGGATGTTAGTGGCTAGGAGGTACCTCCGTGTAAACTTAGGTTTAGAGAGCGACTAGACGGTCGCGTCGGAGTTTAGCTACCGCAACTAAAATTTAATTACCGCGTTAATCCCGCGAATTTAAGTCCGTAAGTAGATAGTATACCCTACCTTAGCCGTAAGAGTTAATCGTTTACTTCGTTTCGCGTAATACTATTACCTTATCTTGTCTATATATTTACGAGGGGTCGGAGACTAATTAGCTAGATAGAATATAGGCTAATACTAGTTCGTATAGAAAGTCTTAGACTACCCTTATAAGAACGTAAGAGTTAGGAGATACTCGCACTAAATATAGGAGCCTAATACTAATGTATATGCAAAAAGTAGATAATATTTAAGTAACCTCTTTAGTTAACGCGAATCGGGCCCTAAACCTTTATTCGGTGGCTAGAGTGGACGCTAAATAAGATAGTGTCTACTCCCTTAGAGCTAACTATAAAGTTATTGTTATAATAGTGAATACGTATTTACGTTAACGGAAGAGGCTAGCCTCTAGGGTGGCCATTTCCTAGTTAGCACCTTCGACCGGTAAGCCTAGTTATTTAAGCGCCGCCTCGAGTTTTTTTATTCGATAATATTTCCTAGTCGCGAGCATAAGGTTAAAGGTGTTAGGGAGGGATATTAAGGATCGAGGGCTCTAAACGATCCGCCGATCGTTTATAGGAGCCTCCGTAGAATTAATCCTACTATAGAATAGATTCCTAGTAAGTTAGCTCTACGATCTACCGGGGATCGTAGTCTAGTCGTACCGCTATTTCTTTATCGTCGAGCTCTAGTAGAGGAAGATTCCGTATACGATTTAGATCCTATAATAGTTCGAATAAGCGCCTACCTAATGCGCGATCTAGCTACCGTAAGAACCGTCCTTTTTCTATGTCTACCTAGTTGAGAAGATCCGTATACTCCGACGCCGTTAATGTTTCCTCGAAACTACTAACGATTAGCGCCATTAGAGGAGGCATAAGGTCTAAGTACTTATAGTCTATTACTAGCCACTACTTTACTATCTCTAATCGACTAGTCGCGGCTAATTAGGCTAAGGGAAGACTATCCAACCCTTTCCGCCTATTAAAGCCAACGTTGGCCTACTTCGATCTACTTCCATAATTTCCGCTTATACTAATTCTATCGGACCGCGTCGGGAGTATCTAAGTCGATTAGGCCGCTCTTAGTTATAGTCCTACCTTTATAGCGACTAGGGAATAGAGTATTCTAGATGTACTCGATTATAGAGCAATATACTTTAGCCTTATTAGCTTTTATAGGAGGTCTTCGTCTTAATATCTATACATCGTTATTATTATTTATGGGTAGCTAACCCCTATTGGCGGCGATACTACGATATAACTTAGCTAGTCGAGCTAGCGTGAATCGCCGTATATAGCTATGTATTTTACTAGCCGTATCGATGGCCGTTAGCGTCCTAAATAGTTTCTATAGCTTATTGCTAAAGGCATCGGCGACGGACGGTATTCCGCCTTTTTATATAGAGATTATAGCCCGTTTTAGAGCTCTATATACGTAAGGATTAGCGACCGCTAAGACCATAGTGACGAGAATATTTATGCGATGTAGATTAAGACCCTATAGGTGTTTACTACTTATAGTGCCTAGGCCTAGACGGTTGTAGAACCGATCCTATACTCGGACTACCTTTACTATCCCCGTTTTTAGGACATCGTAATGGATTTCGGCTTCTCGCCTTATGTCCTACTCTATCTAATAGGATTCGTCCGCCGATGCGTCCGGGATAACGGTTACGGTCGACGATGGAGAATTTATTACCGTAAAACTAGGAATTTTTAGTTTCTTTATAGGCGTTCCGGGGACCGAAGTACGATGCGAGCGTTTTTTGAATAATCGCGCTAGGTGAACTAAGGTGACGTTGCTAGAGCTCCTTTCTATTAATCGGCCTACCGTACCTATATATTCCTCTCCTACTTATCCGACCTTAGGGTCTTCTCCGTCTTTCTCTCCATTTATACTCTTCCCGCGATTAACCTCTAATTCCTCTTTACGATTAGTAACGCTACGATCGTAATCCTCGCTCGGTACCTCCGCCACAGTATCTACTTGACTCGGACTATTTACGCCGGCGTTCTCTAGCTCGCGTTCGTGTTCGATCCCTTTCGGATTTTCACTAGTTTTACGTTAATCCTAGTACTAGTAGGCGGGCTTAGATAGGGAATACCGTAGCTAATAGCTATTACTTTACCTACTTCGATTTTCTAGCGGTTTTAACCGGGAAGTAGATAATTCGCCTAGATCTTCCCGCTATATATTAGTGTTAATAATATTCGCGTCGAAATGAGGGATTGAAGATTACCGTACTTCCTTATACATTGCTTTATTATTTATTCGTAGTCTATTTACCGTAGTCTCGATACTAAGGGTATTTTCGATCGTTAGTCCCATAGTAGCTTCGCATTCTAGGTTTAATACATCGTGGCCATTTTTTAATCGTACTAAGCTCGTTAACCTACTCCGTTCTTTATTCTTAAAATAGGCTAGAGTTCTAGGGGCCAATAAAAGGGTATTTAGGAAGTCTTCGGTATTACTATAGAATTTTCGGATAGGTACTGCTATATTTAGATGGTCCCGGTATAGGCGATTCGCAATCCCGTTAAGGTATGAACGATAATATACGGGTATCGTGCTAACTACCTTCGGAAGAAATTCTTGGAGAATTTCGTAAATGCGATGGTCACTGTGGGAGGCGGGATCCATTGTGAATCTTCGACCGGTGCAAGGTGATCCTTGAAAAGTGAGGCACTCTAGATTATATGGTCTAAGCGAAGTCGTTCACTCATCTTATTGACTTCAGGCAACCAACGGTTTCATAGCACAAAACTTCGAGTGAGGTCGGTATTGAGCTTACTCTTCGAAGACGACGGAGCAATTGAAGTCCAAGCATCGGCGCTGTGCACCCTATCTATTCAACAGACTTGGTTCCTGACGGAAGGCTAACCGGAACCGGAACTAGACATGAAGCGAGAGGCTTCAGGAGATGCGACCTCGTCGTGTTCGAAGAGAACACGGACGCCCTCGTCTGTGCTAGACAGGGGCGTCAACAATATAGCTGCCACCCGAGGTCTCAAACCACTGGCAAAACAAGTGCAATCCCGGACAGTGCCCTTAATAGTACTAATGGTATGGTATAACTTATGGCTTATACCATTATAATGATAATGATATTGACCTGATATCACTATCAGTGGTATTAGGGGTAATGATATATCACTATCAGTAGTATACCACTAGTATACCGCTACTGAAGCCCGGTATTGCCGTCTCCGACGTATCCTTCAAGGTCATTAGTTCCTCAATCGTATAGAGGTATAACGTTAAGCAGTCTTACTAGGCTTAACAGCATCGCTGTTGCACCACGACTTTAGGCATTGCAGAACCTCCAGTGTTTGTATACTTAGGGAATTCCTTTGGTCTGTAACATCCAATTTGGCAGAGGAAAAGAGGCGTTCTGCTTCGGCAGACATTGCCGGAATGGACAGGACATCAATTGCCATTTTGGACAAAGCGGGAAAGCGAGTGCGCTGGGTTGGCTCAAGCCACCATTGTAGAGGGTTGTGATGTAGCTGTTCCATAGCTACATCAGATAATACGGGTTCACTGAAGTACAGCTTGTACTCGTCGTCCACAATGATCGGCTTTCTCTGTATCCAAGCTCGAAACTCGTTCGTTGGAGCTTTTCTCTCTCGTTCTGGATGACTGTTTGCGGAGGGAGAAAGATGACTTATAATGGTCCTTCCACAAATTGTCGACTTTCTTTTCCGCCACCTTGATCCAGGCGGCTTTCCACCCTGAATGCTCCGAAAAGTATGACCATTTCCATCCCGGGTGGAGCACAATTGAAGCAACATAGATAGGTGATTGTTCTGTCCGAGTGTAGTACTTGTTGAGCTTTGCCCAGCCCATATCAATACATGGAGCCATGTATTCGTTGCTTGGATACTTATTTCGTCCGATCTCAAACTAAGTAAGAAATCCATGGTTTGGAGCACCTCGTCCACAGTTGCATTGTGCCCTTCAGTCGCCTTGGTAGCATGTTCGAAAGGTCGTAGAAAGTCGCATATTTGCAGAAGAATCTGCCAGTCTTCATAGAGCAACCTGTCCATCTGTAATCCCGGATCGTTAGCACAAAACTCATCAATGGCTCGACGAAGATCTGGTTTTAGAGCCCACTCGATCATGGTATACCAAGAATTCCATCTAGTTTTGTTGTCACGGCGTAGAGTCTTATTTTCTGAGAGCTTTTTGAATCCCTGAAGCCTTTGAGGGCTGCAACGCACGGACATCACGATATTGTGCAGCTTTCCAAGCGGGCCCAGCCTCCTCCATTCATTAAGTTCTTTCTGCGTAGGATCATATTCATCAGAAACAGTCCTGTTATCTGGATCGGGCTCTAAATCCGGAACTTTCCCAAAGAGAAATACCTAAGATTTGGAATATTAATAGATAGATCGAATGTCGTAGATACAACATCAGACTCACCATAACTGCCAGATTAACGATATGGCCATTACACCGAAGACGGTGTAGTATTGGATCCCACGTATCCGTCACTCCGTGTAACGAAAGAAGTTGAGAAAGCTCCCTTAGCATAGTGTCGTTGGACGGGTGACTGTCGCCAACGAAATATCCAAGGTTCGCTGTGATGCCAAAATCCTCAACAACTGTCCAGAGCTCTTTGGCCATATTGACGCCACTGTGTGTTCCCTCCAGCTCTTTCATACCTAAAACAAGCTTCCACCATCTTCGCTCACAAAATGTGCCACGATACCAAGGATTCCTAAGTTCGCAGGGGAAGTCCAAGCGTCGCAAGAGAAGTGGATGGATGATATAGAAGTCTGTAAGGCGTGTTGAACATCTAACTTCTTCTCACCATAAGTCTGTTGATATCGGCTTTAATCGTAGCGGCAGACACAGGCAACAGATCGTTCGCCGCTGGACTAATGTATTGTAAGAATGATCGAAAAGCCTAGGTCTCGACAAATTCCAAAGGCAGAGATTTCTTGATGATGAGCTGTGCATAGAGATCTCTTAAGGTTTCTGGCTTGAGAACATGCTCTTCCATCGTCACCTTCCTTCTCTTATTATCACGATCTGCAGTACGAGCAAGAGACTCTCTAATATCCTCGTCCACACGCGCCCGTTTGAAATTCTTCGAGCCCGTATTACCATTCTCTCTAGCATAGATCTGGTGTTTCTTTTCCAGATGATCAAAGATTATGTTCGTTCCACCGCTGCGCAGATATTCCCGACAAACATTCTTTTCATAGCAGTACCGGCATCTCCACAGCTCTCTTGTCGTTCCTCTTTCCCCGCGGTAAAGCCGCTGACCGTCTGGACGATCTACGCAATGAGCCCAGACACCAGAATACTGTACACGCAACTTAGACTCATTGGTGTCGAGGGGTGTTGGAGCTGAGGAGGTAGGGGAGGGTGTGGTTAGGGTGCCAAAGACCGATGGTACGCTTGTAAGCTCCGAGAACTCGGTAAACTCGCTGACAGACATCTCAATGGCAAATTTAGGAAGATCAGGGCGGTTGGGCCCGAAGCGAACGCGGATTTAAGCGTTGTTTACCAGCCCATCAGGCCCCAGTAACAATAAGATTAATGCTTGGCATACTACTGGTAATACTACCGGTGTAGAGATGGCATACCATTATTGCTAGTATCGCAACGATGGCATACCACTACTAGTAGTATGCCAAGAGATGGTATACTAGTGATATACTGCTGGTATTACTAATGGTGTGGTATACTATTAAGGGCTCTGATCCCGGATTTATACAGACTGCTTCCTGCCATGCGTCTCCTTCACCGGTATTTTGGGATGAAAACAACAAGAAGCTGAGCTTTTTCTGAATGGAACGCCATTGATCCAGATCATCGCACTCACAGAAACTTTCAATTCAACAGTCCTCCATAATCAGATCTATGCCTTGCTTGGGCTTGGGACTCAGGCCGACAGGGACGGTATTCTTGTGGATCACTCTCTACCGTATAAAACGGTCCTTGTGAATTTCTCCCAACACGTCATACGTTCTGGACACCTCTACTATCTATTTCACAAGCTAGGGTGGGTGAAATCTGAGTTGGACCTTCCTTCTTGGACCCTCGAGCCAATGCTGAAAAACCAACGGGATACTCTCGATTCCTCAATCTTCTATGGAGACACCTTTGACAGTTATGATGCAGGTGGTGGCACTGGCCCCCCGGTCGCATTCGATGAGACCGGCATGCTACTCTCGGTGGACGGGATACATCTAGGAAGTCTGGATGTCATAACAGCTTACCCTTCATGAAAAGGAATGGCATCAGTACTATAACTACATCAACACGATCTGCCAAGGGCGAAGGTTTGGCATTACCGAAGAAGGGCGTTTGGCCCTCGTGCCTGGCCATACACGGACGGGAGACAAAATTGCCGTGCTTCTCGGCAGTCGCTTCCCCTTTGTCATAAGACCGACAGATCAAGGTACCTATCGCTTGATCGGCAGTGCATTTGTCCTTGGATTTATGGATGGCGGAGCGTTACAGCTGGAAGACCGACATCGAGAAACCATGGTTTTTAAGTGAAGGTCCGGCTCGTCGCCGTTAAGTTCCCGAGATCGTATTCACTACCCCTATTATCAAGAATCGAGTCTCAGTATACAAGTATGGTCAAACAGATACGTCAATCATTGCTCATTTTCATCTATGAATATATAAAATGGTAATAACAATTCCTGCTCCCTTTAAACACAAGCTTTATATATTCAGCCGCTTTATGCAGTGACTGCGACCCCATTAGTATGTCCGTTTTCCAGGTGGGTAGTAGTGCCATTTGCTTGCATTCCCTTCGGTAAAGGTGCAGCCTGCTTGGAGGGTTTTCCAGCAGTGCCAACCACTGGGAGCGCAGCAGCTGCCACAGCGGCATGAATTTCCTCCTCCGCACCTTCTGGCAGAGGCAACAGTGGCGATCGAACAGTGGCGTCGTTGAGGATTCCCCGAGCGACCAGAGCATGCTTCAATGCTACTGTGCCTTCCATGTGTGAGCCGCGGTGGTAGACAGCTTTGGTAACCGGGAGCAATCGGTCGTGCGCTGCGCGAGCCCGTGGATAGTCTCGCGCCTTGCCAGCATCGATCAATTCAAGAAGCAATTCCGGGGCGATATTGCCATAACCGACTAACATGCCGTCGACATCGAAAGCAGTATGCAGAAGATATTCATCGTGGCAGGTCAGGATTTGGAGCTCGGGTCGCTGGGCGCGGATCACGGGGATTTCTGTGTCCCACCGGCGCATGTTGCGAACACCATTCTTCATGCAGAAGACACCAGGTAAAGCAGCGATATCGAGCATGGTCTGTAGATTGTACGTGGCTTTGGTGTTGTCGGGGTATTGGAAAAGAATGAGAGGCAGCTTGCTGACCTCATAGACGCGTCGATAGCGGTCTTGAGGGGCGCCTGGTTGGTATCCGAAGCGCAGCCAGCCATGAGATGGATATAGGAGGCCTGCCTGTGCACCGGCTTCTACCGCACGCTTGGCTTCCAAGGCGGCAACTTCGGTTCCTTCTCCAGTGATACCGGCGATGATGGGGATCTTGTTGTCCACCGATTTGACAAAGGCACGAATGACGTCGGCTTGCTCCTCTTTGGTGAGGAAAGTACCCTCACCAGCATGACCAAGGACAACAAGGCCTTTGACGCCGTCGATGCTACCAAGCCATGATCCGAGACGCTGAATTGCCTCGTAGTCGACTTCGCCGTTGGGCAAGAAAGGTGTGACGGGTGCAGGAGTGAGTCCTCTGAGGTCGAGCATTTTGTTATTTGGCGTTTAAAGATCTTCTAAAGGGTTTTTGAGAAAGTAGTGAAGCTTGGTGATAGGATTAATGTGTTTGATTGATGTTTGAAAGTGTTGATGATGTTGAGATCCAAAAGGGACTGTTGGTCTGAGGCGATCAATATATACATTGTGCAGCATAGCCTACGACTATTGCTCCGGCAGTCGGCACCGACCATCTGAGTGATAGACCATGGAGCACCTCCACACTAAGACGGCATATAGCCTCCGATGGCCCAGACTTTCCGCTGATGAAGTCTCGGAGTTTCTGGCAGATTGACGAGCCGGAATTCACCCGTGTGCTGATCAGGTGAATTGAACAGATATCTGGAGAGAGGATCCATTCTCCGCAATCCCTCCGCCACCCTGCACCCCATTCCCCGCGAAGGCAGATTTCCGTCGGGACTCTTCCAAGGTTAGTGCGGAAATATTGACGGAGCATCCTTCCTTGGTTAGCGTTGATCAGATTAACGGGTTGGCCTTCCAGGGTTAGTGGAAATTGGCCAGCTCTGGACTAACACGAAGCACCAATCATTGTTGGAGAGACCCTGGACCCTCCAACACGTCTTGCCCTCGTATTCCTGCCATGTTCAAAAACTCAATATCTCGGAGAACCAAGCTTGTCCTTTCGTGCTAGTGCCGCCAAAAGGCAATATCAAAAATCAAGGATTACCTCACTCCACGGGGTACATTTCTGGAGAGATGACTCCGTGTCGAACACCCGAGGCGTTCCCCGGATATAAAAGACCACATCTCGCTTCGACTGATCATTCTCAATGTGAAAGGTTCCATTGAAGCATCCTTCCCTCAGTCTCTAAACGCCACATTCATCATGACAGTCAAGGATCTTGAAAAACCGCAGTCGGCTCAGATGGAGGTCGCCCCCAATGGGGACAGCCTAAGTTCTCAACCTGAGGGTGATTACTCAGGGGCAGTTAGCAAAAGCAATGCTGCTGAGATCGCTCTGTGCCGCAAACTGGACAGACGGATTCTCCCCATTCTTTGGGCCATGTACTACCTGTATGAGATCATCAGGCCTGCGGCGAGTGACAAGTGCTAACGGGTGCTTTTACAGTAATTATCTGGACCGAAATGCGATTGCCCAAGCTAGGCTGAACAACCTGGAAGATGACCTGGGGTTGGTGGGCAATCAGTTCAATGTGGCAGTCTCAATCCTCTTTGTTGGGTATGTGGATCACCAAAACCCCTCGATGGCAAAATACTGACGCAGATAGTTATCTTGTGATGCAAGTTCCATCGAATATGATCATGTCGAAAGCACATTTTAAGCCGAGTTACTACATGGCCATTTGCATGATGGTTTGGGCTATCGTTAGCGCATGCACCGCTGCCGTCCACAATTACATCGGCTTGCTGATGGTTCGATTCTTCCTGGGTATCACGGAAGCCCCGTACTATCCAGGGGCCATGTTTTTGCTCAGTGTGTTTTATACGAGAAAAGAAATCGCTACGAGGCTTTCGATCCTATACTCCGCCAACATCCTCGCAACCGCCACTTCTGGTCTGATTGCTGCAGCAACATTCGAGACTCTCGACGGAGTTCGAGGCCTGTCGGGATGGAGATGGCTCTTCATCATAGAGGGCGCCGTTACTTTCGGGGTCGCACTGATCAGCATGTTCTTCCTGCCCGATCATCCATTGACGACACGATGGTTGACTCCAGAAGAGCGAGAGCTGGCACACGCCCGCATTGCCCGAGACACAGTGGGATTGGAAGCCAACAAAGGCGCTCGTGCAGGCTTCATGCAGGCCGTGCGGGACCCCCGTCTGTGGCTGATCACCTTCATGCAAAACTGTCACTTGTCCGCAACGGGCTTCAACTCATTCTTCCCCACGGTAGTGAAAACCCTAGGATTCTCTCGCACGATGACCCTGGTGCTTACCTGCCCTCCATATCTCGTCTCAGCTCTTGCCTGCGTGGTTACGGGCATCAGCTCCGGAAAATTCAACGAGCGCACGTGGCATATTACGGGCGGCATGGTGGTAGCCATGATAGGCTTTATAACCGCCAGCTGCACGATGAATGTTGCGGGCAGGTATACGGCCTGCTTTTTGTTCGCCTCAGGTTGTTATGCGGTCAACGCAGTCATCTTGGGCTGGGTTACCGCAACTCTTGGCCAAACCAGCGAGAAGAAAGCTGCGGCATTGTCAATTGTCAACATGTTTGGCAATGCCTCGTTCATCTATACTCCAGTAAGGAACTCTGCTTGATTTGAAGATTTCTGAGACTAACACGAAGTTAGTACTTATACCCCCAGTCAGATGGACCGAAATACTTGATCGCGATGTCTTCAAACACCGCATTTTCCTTTGCTACGATTGTGTGTGCGTGGATCTTGAGAGTGTGGTTGATGAGGACCAACTCCAAGATCAGGAAGAGCGATGCGACTAATAAAGTGTTCTACGCGTACTAGAGGAACAAAGCTAGAAGTAAGATTAAAACTTTGCAATAGCCTACGACAATTATTTATTGTATTGGTACAAGCTGTACAGCCTCAGGGCTGGAAAGGGAGACTACGAAGGCCAATTATTGTATCGGCCATAGAATGGCGAAGGCGCAAATGGATCCTGGAAGGGATTCGCCATGTACTGCATTCCAGGATTAACCGAGGTATCCATGGGATCAACGAGATTGACGTTGAAGAAATCCCAGAACGCATCACCATTAGAATTGAATTGTGTAATCCCGGATATTGGCTCCGCGTAGGGCATGAAGATCTCATGTTGGCTCGTTGCAGCAACTTCTGTGTTCGGAATGTTTGTGCTCCTCTCCCCCATCCCTGCGACCAATTCATCGTGCGAGATTGGGTTGTCTTGGAGGTGCTCCGACTCGTCCCGGGAGATGCCGTCATCTCCACCCAGACCAACAATATAAGCAAGTTGAATGGCGACTTGGGACAAAATCTGGTATGTGGGTCCCAGTTGATGAGTCTGGCACATCTCGATCATGAACGAGACGTTGGCGCTGATGGCGCGGTCTCGGACAGTCCATTCCTCGGTTGCGGACAGGCGTGGGCGGCCCAGGAAATCCAGACACAGTGCCAGCATTGCATGGTACAGGTAGAAGAAGTCTGTCCAACCGAGTCCTTCGAGCAGAGATTCGGAAGAAAGTCGCTGTAGCATGTCGGCGATCGCCATTGAAGAGGAGATGCACTCTTGTGCCAAGCTACCAACGGTCGATCTGACCGTTGGGGGGGAACTAGACTCTGACATGCCCTGGTGCTTGATATCGTGTTCGACTTTGGATAAGAGGTATGGTCTCGTCAACACGGAGGCAATGTAGTGATAGTTGATGTGGAGAAGTAACACCGCACGAAGGTGTCGCGGGCTAATGAAGCACCACTCCGGACGCAAATGCCGTGGCAAGCGTGTGTACCAGCCTTTGAGCTCCTTGGAGATAATATTAAGACTGTCGACCATGGAAATCAAAAACAGATCGTCAAAGCAATTTGGTGAGGCTGCTGTGGCGAAGTGTCTAACCTTCGAAGTCAAGTCCATCAACTTTGAGGCATGATTAATGTAGTCAGGAGGATAGTCGCTACCATCCAGAACCGATTCATCAGGTAGTTGGACATTAACCTCCAGAGCCTTGATGGTGGAAGGTCGTCCCAGTGAGAGGGACGTATACTGTTCGAAAGAATAGAGCGTAAACCAAACCATTCTTCGCGTGTTCCGTTCGATGGCATCAAAATTGTGACTCGTACCCTCTCTGTGCATGCCGAGAGCAATTGACATGCGAGCAGCTTGTCCGAGTAAAATCCAAGACGTATTACGCTCGCCTGCATTGTGTTCGTATAGCTGGAGGAGTAGGAGGGCTTGGACGTTGGGTAAATTTGCGGTGAGAGCCAAATGGTGAAACCTTTCTCGCACATGCCTCAGGAACTTTCTCTGTAGTCCGGCGGCGTCCTCCAAACCATCGTGCTCGAGTAGTTGGGCACCAAAGACGAAAACCATGAAAAGCGAACACAGCCATCCGGGTTCACGATCATACCGATAAACCGGAGAGCGCTGCCAGATCGAATCATATCGAGTATGAAAGGTTCCCCGATGGAACAGTATATAATTGGGGTGCAACCGGTCGAAAAAGGCCTGAACCAGTCTATCCGAGACCTCTCTGGCGGGGACCAGTGCCCGAAGCCACCGACGAGATGGGCTCACCGACCGCAGGCCCTCTTGGCCCTCATTCGCAGTGGGCGATGTGTCCATTGCGGGCTCGTTGCTCTGCTCTCTGACGGTGGACGCTGGGTGGGCCTGAATTCTGGGTTCAAGAGCAATACTGGTCTTTAGATTGGCGAACTCTGCCCGTTGCTTGCTCCGTCGACCCAGTCTCGTACGGGTATCATCGAGAGTCTCACTGCGTACTGCAACTAACCGACGCACGGCCCTAGCGAACTCAAAAGAGGATGCTGGACCGACATAGTGTGCAACGCCATGAGGAGCCGGAATGCAGGTCTCTTCCGCCAGATTGGTGACCGTGCCTTGGACTGCCGGATCAACATTGCAGGGCCACGGCACACCGGTATTGACTGAAGATAGAGGAGTTTGAGCGGTTACAGAAGAATCGATAGTAGAAGCGCTGCCGAGGAACGTTTGGAAAGCGGTTCCTGGGTCATTGGATGTTGGGACTGGTGTTGTGGTGTTCTGTCCATCCGATCTCTGTGAGTTCACAGCGTCTGTGAGCCGAGAAAGGCTCATCGCCTGGTCATGACTAGGTATGGGAGTGTTTCTCTCCGCAGCCAACCGGAACAGTGTTTGGGTGTCGTTGCAGTCTTCATTAGGAAAAAGGCTTTGGACAAGAGCTTCAAGAGCCTTATATCGTTCGCTGGTGCCATCGGGACCAGAATACGCGAGCCTTCTCCGTGGAATTGTCGACTTACAGGGCACGCCGCTGTCTAGACATGCTTCGCATGGGACCTCTTCCGTTGGCCTAGCACAGCGAATCCGCCTCGTTTTGCAGCGGTCACAAGAAATCAGAGCGCGACGACGAGCCGAGTCGGGTACTCGTCGTCTGGGGACCTTGGGGTCATGATCAAAAACCAAGGACATTATCCTCAAGATAAGACTTTGTTCAGAGCGCTTTGAATCACAGTTCCACGACCACCTGACAATCGTCGGTAGATATCGAGCGTTTATGATAAGTCGTAGATGGATGGACTGACTCGGGTGACTTCGATACCTTAGGTGGTAAGAACGGGTACCTACTGTAGTTAGCTAGATAGGTGCTCCGGAGTTTGGCACCAAATGCCAAGCCCCTGGGCCCAAGGGTCTGAGGCTCTGAGGGAGAAACCCCCGGTGCCCCCCTCCAACCTCCAACCCACCAAATTTTACATTTGGCTATTTGAAGAGGGGAAAGTTACCTACGCAATACCTAGGAGATTTCAAGGTAAAAACTAAGAACCCGGTACTAGTGGTGGGCAATACTCTCGACAACGTTACACCGCTAGCCTCTGCGCGTAACGTGAGCTCTGGTTTTGAAGGAAGCATCCTACTTGAAAGAAAGGCATTTGGTGTAAGTATCTCATTCGACTATATTGCAATGCCTATTTACATTACTTCTTAGCATACCTCAGCTGCTCAGCCGTCCAAGTGCACGGACGATGTCATCGCAGATTATTATGCGAAGAAGATTATCCCCGAGCGTCACATTATTTGCGATGTTGAGAAGGACGCCTTCGAGCTTGCCCAGTAACATCAACAGGGACAGTCGCGTTTTGAGAGAATCAAGAGGGGCACGGGCACGCCTTATTAGTTCAGAAGAGCCTGCAGGAGGCTCATGTATTAGAAGACTTGTTGGCAAGTGCTTTAGCTATGATTTCTCCATGGAACTGATTTTGGTAGAAGCATGCACTACTCTATAGAGTAAGAGCAGACCGTATTCTTCCATTTGGATATGTGGAAAGGAGGGGTGGTGCCTGAATTAAAGGACGGAAAGTATGAGGTTGGATTACGCTTAGCATCCTCGTGCACCTCCAGCTACACTCCCTGTATACCAGAACATGCACCCAACGCCATTTATCCACCTTGAATTGAAGTAATCTGACCCACAGACACAAAGATGTGCAGCAATATGAACCTTAGTCGACACCAACGCTTTCCCGTCTCCCCGGAATTTATAGTGCCTTCACCGACGCCTGTTGCCATTGGACTGATACGTAAAGACGTTGAGACGAGCGTAGTAGAGAGTCGGCCGTCCATCCTTCTCGCCATTGGTCCATTGCGAATCTGCCACGAAGATAGACTTACCCTGGTGCTTGACCCATCAACCCGACTCATCTTTAAAGCGCATCCGCTCTGAAGTAACCTCAACCATTGGACGTGTTTGACGACCTCGTCCCGAGCCCTGCACGCTTTGAGATTGCCTGGAGAGGTCTGAAGGTCTCTCCATCGACTCCCCGAAACCGTTCTGCTGTGTCTGTCATCGCGAAGGAGCGCGTCTGAGTCATATGACTCTCTGGCTCCCCTCCAGGAGTGAGAGGCTTGGTGAGATGGTGCGCATAAAGCTGAAGTGTGCCGGTCCCCACGTGGTAGGTAGCGGAAAAGCTACGTGCTTTGTTGTCATATTTTGGCTCCTCAGCTTTGTAATTCTGGAGCTGGTGCATGGCTCGGGCTCCCATTGCTCCATCAATAAGGGCTTGTCTCTTTGCCACATCAGCTCGTCCTTGAGCGCTCTTGCCCTCGACGAAGAAATTCGGAGCGGCCGGACGAGTCGTGGTGATTGAGTCATTAAACCCAGCGTCAGTTTTTCCCTCTACAGCGCGAAGGAGCTGTGCATAGTAGTTGGAAACCGTTGAAGGCCCTTGAATGATGGAGTCCTCCAGATTCCATAAGTTGCTCGTGTTGTCATTCTGTATCGCCTGCACGCTGGTGAAATTATTCACGTAGATCGAGCCCACAAGCCACGAGCCACCACTGAGCCCCGAGAAGTACGTAGAGGACTGTAGGATGCCTCCAAGTTTCCCGACTCCCGTTGCATTTTCTGTTCGTGAGTCAAAGGCAGCTAAAACACCAGCACCATTGAGCATAGCTCTATAGCCACCTCCGGATGCGGCAATGGCTATGTTTGGCAAATTCAGGACGTTGTCGGCGTTCCCATTTATGTATGCCGAAGCATCGGAGAGGACCCATTTGTTGAATAGTCTGGTTGCGTCGTATTGTAAGCCATGAGACTTCGCTTTGCGAGAGCTCATTCGCACTTCTAATGACTGGCCTATTAGAGGGACAATCACCTGCTTCTGGCGTGTACCCATCTGGCGCATTGGGTAGAGCCCTTTGAATGAAATTTCTTTCGCTAGGAGCATAAATGAAAGTCAAGACATCTGGACGTAATAAATGTTAACTATCATTACCAGGGAGCCATACTGCAAGTGCTTACCTTGACATAAAATAATCACAATAAGCCAAAAGACTTGTGTCGGAGAAGTAGGCCGCATGCTGATAGTTACTTCCTATGCAATATACGTGCTAGGCACGAGGAGGACTTGGGTTCATGTTGTTGTATCTGCGTTTCCTTGGTATACAAACTTGAGCAAGGCCGTGGCCCATTATGTAGGAGTGCTAGCATGGTTCTTCAGGCGAAACACTTCAAAACCTGACAACCATATTGGCGAAGCTTATTTTCGAGCATCAGCGTTTCGCATGACTGTCGATGGCGAATTATGTCGAGTCTGAATAAGGTTCAGCACGTCGTAAATGCCACACCTTCATGTGCATCTCGGTAAAAAATAAAACCAGTCGGAAGACGGGGAACAAGATAGCGTGTGTCCACGCTGTAAGGCATTGTGCGGATTTGTCAGTCCAGCTGAGCCGGACACGAAAGAGCACAAGCACTGAAGAGCTGAAGCCAAAGACGAATACGAATGTTTTGATATACGAAATCGGTTCCTATTACACACTTCTGAAGGAGGGGTCTCGTATCCAGAGCTGCACAGGAAAATAGCAGTGCGTAGCCAGGGTAACTCCTTGAGCAAATCTGCTTAATTCTGAGATTTCAAGCCACATGTCTCATACCTGAAAGAAGCTGCGGTGGTGAGTATGAGGTCGGACCATGCGCGCTTCCACACTAACGACGCCGATAACTGTTCCACACCCCAGAAGGGATGTATTCAGCCAATAGGATCGAGCCGAGCAAGCGAGCAATGACTTAGAGGAACGTGCCCTACTAACTAGTTTGCGCTAGCCTTATTGTTCCCCGGGGAAGTCTTGCCATCCTGGATGTAATACATACTTCTCCAGTAGAAGTCTAAAGTGTTCTAGACAATGGCATGACATGGGGATCACAAAGTATCACCTTTCTACGTCTGCTACATCATTGTGGTAAACTTCCTTCTCGTTGAAACAGCACTAGTGGTATGCAGAGTTGGTTGGACCCTGGCTCGCGCCCGAAGTTCGTAATTCACACCTATTTTAGTTCAAACTTCAAATCTCCTGATCAGGTGAGCAGTTTCTGTCTACTTGGTCTGGCCAATACATTCATTTGGACACCCTTGGAATGTACGCGAATGCACCACCTCGCCATATGCCAAGAGATTAATCATTTTACGCACCATTACAAAGGTGCCAAACAATCCTTAATTGCTTGCTCAGTCTAATCACCAACCTTCCAGACCAACAAGTCAAGATTGGCTGTATATCGCGCTGCTGAGGCCTCCTGCCAACTCTCTAATCCCACCAAAGTAAATCCGCTACCTTCTGTATATCGCTATCATGCCCGCAGTATACACCAGTTTGCGGCTCCCTAGTCCACCGCAAGTGATTTGGGACATTTTAACAGACTTTGAGCATTACTCAGACTGGAATCCTGTCTATCAGAAGATCTCTGGCGACCAATGCAGTGAGTATTCGAACAACACTCACAGATCCAATAGATTGGTCACGGATGCTAACAATAGAGAAGCGGGCGGCCGTATCCACACGGAGGTGAAAAACCCACGAACTTCTAAAGGTGGTCAATCTAGCTATCCTTGCTAAAACATCAAGAACTGATCTATTTCTCCAGTAAGAAAATGGGACCCCATTATAATGAAATGGTCGCCAATATGCAATATGCAATGGCGAGCACGCCTTTTCAACCTCCCAGGTCTCTTTACTGGATATCACCAATTCATTCTACAACCTAGCGCAGACGGGTTGAGCACTGATTTTGAACATTATGAGATCTTGTCGGGAGTGCTTTCATACGTTCTGAAATATGTGAAACCATCCGTGTATTCGGATATGGAAGTCGCATTTGATGCGATGAACGATGGGTTGAAGCGGCGCGCAGCAAGCTTTAGAGAGTAGGTAATTCGGACAGTTGTGTGAATAGTCTAGTCGAAGGACTCCGTATTTCGGTGTGAGTTCCTTGTGGCTACAGAGACCGAGTGGTTATCAGGAAAACCTTTTCGTCGCCTTCGATGCCAGCGATATTGGCTGCTCCATCAAGTCTGCCGTAATGGTCGATGGTAGCTCCGATCCACCTGTCTACGCTGTCGGAATCCGACACATCAACGACCGTCGCTGTGACTTCTGTGCCCTCCGACTCAAGCTCTTTGGCGAATTCTTCCAGCTGTTTTCGCTGTACGTCTGCAAGTGCTAATCGAGCATTACGAGATGCGCATTCTCGTGCCACAGCGCGTCCGATCCCGCTGGCCGCGCCAGTCACTGCGATCACCTTGCCTTCAAGCGAAGCCATGATAAGTGCTCCTTTGGATTTCAACAGTGAAAGCCGTCGAGGAGATGTGGCTGGAATGTGCATGAAATCAGGACTGTTTGGGGTGACTTGGACTAGCGCTTAAGTCCCTGCAAACCCTCCCAGCTCCATTATGATTGCGTCTTGCCGGGCAATAGTGGCCCGGCGACTTGGGGAGGGCGATCAGTATAGAAATGGCGACTATGATTGGTATACCGGGCCGACAATCGTCCGTAACCTTGACTTCGTTCTCCAATTAGGAACAGAATTGCGCTTTCCTCTTATGGTGCCTTAAGACCCCAGGATGTGAGGCACTTGTGCTCGCGTGTGAATGGTATGTGATCGACCAACTACAACAGGTCTTCGGGCCACGTACCATCGTCCATATGTAGAGATGATACTGACTCCCGCGAGTTATTGGGCTGCTAGCTTGTTGATGAAGATAGTGGACGTTTAGTGGTCTGTTCGTACAAGTTCAGCTGTGCAAGGGATAGAGGTTCAGCTGGACACTGATGGAAGACGGTAGAATGACCAGAGGTCATTCTACCCTATGTCTATATAGTAGACAGTCACTACCACTAGAAGCAAATAAAAAAAACCCAACCTACAACAATACAATCAATTAATTAATTGAATCTAATTACGACTACCCAATCAAGATCCATAACCTCCTTCACTTGTCAAAGAAGGTATTCTGATAGAGCGGCGGGCCGCCCTTACCAGACGCAGCCTTCCGTACGAATCAGGAAAATCACTGGCACGTAGCTCATAAAGCACCACTTGTGCCCTAAAAGTTTGAATCTAATGTCGTTATCCGCCATGTATTCTAACCTTTCACACACTCTGATATCGTAACTTGTTCAACCATATCTTCAATGTGATTCTGTAACACGAGCAATGCCCAGGTCTCTCACCACGTCCTCCCCCGGCACCTCGATCTCCCTCACAATTCTCTCGATTGTCTCTCTGACCAAGCTGATATTGACCACCACCCGCAAAACACCCCCTTCTCGATTTCATGTCCCAATGCAGGCGCGGAGTCAATCATGAATCCTTTCCGGACGACAGAACGTATAATTATTGTCATTATGATGGAATTTCTCTTTCCGATTTTGACTTTGTCGCCCTTTGTTGCACTGGGCGTAGTAGAAACACACTTGAAGGCACGGCGGCGGGTTCTCGCTGACTAGCTGGAAGTTTTCGTTTCTCGAGACAAGATCAGCAAAATATGCTACGATTGAGTACGCATTCTCGATCTTCGACGCGTATCCTAATGTTCCATAGTACCACCAGCTCAGGAAGAGTTTCAGGCTGTCGCCACGACGCCCGCACTGCAGGGTGAGATCTGCAAGATCTGTGGGTGAACTCCACACGTCGTCAGCGTCATCCTCGGTAATCTCATGAGATGCTTGGCCATTGGCTTCCACTTGCAATTGCTCGGCATTCGCCAGGGCGTCTCCGGAAAAGGTCCATGGCCCAATTCTTCCAGACATTTCTCCCGAAAGCGGATTCCCGCAATTGCATTTCGCTCCTTGCCAGCTCGTCAGCAAGTTTCTCCTTCATGAAGTGTAATCTATCGGTCGCTGGGTAGAGTGCGTCAGCGATGTAAGAACTTGTCAATTCAAGGAACAAGGCATCCATGTGACCAGAGAACACTGGAACGAATTGTCGGCGGAACGTAGCGTTTAGATTCGAAGGGCTGAGAGACACCTAAATCAGGCGAGAAGCTGCGCGGTGGCGACAAAAGCCATAAGTTCTTCGATCAAGAGTGATGAGAGGTCATCGTGGACCACGTCGCTTGTCGCCTTGACCTGGAGCACGGCTTGTGCCAACAGTGAGCCGTGTACATCGATTCTGGAAGCTGGGACTTTGCTTCCGGTTTGGACAGTTTCGCTCGACAACTGATCTTGCTTGCTCTCCACTGATTTCGCATTCAAAATTTCGGTCAACAACGACGAGTTGTTGCTTTCGTACTCCGCCTTGATCAAATCTGCTAGATCTTGCAAATCGACTCCACGCACCGCAGATCGTTCAATCAAAACCTTTTTCAGGTCTATTGTTCGCCGAGATATGAGAGTGGGGATCACTGGCAACAGGAGATGTTTTGCCTCTTTCGGATCCTCTTTCCCCAGACTTTTAAGAGTTTGGATGGCTACTTAGTAACGCCAGACGTATAATGGTAGCGAAGTGTAAGGCAAATTATTGCTTTGGCGACAGGCAGCTGGGTGAGCTCGTCGTTTCTGAATTCGACGATCACAGCAGGTGGTGCTCTGTTCCGCTCGAAGTAATCCGTTAAGGTCTCAGATTTGTCCCCGATCTCACCTATATTGATAATGAGAGTAGGTCAGTATCGTTTTAAACGAATATGCTATGCTCATAAACACAAAGGGAGAGACCAAACAAGTCTCAGAAGGTATACTAACCAAATAAAATGGTCCCTGGTAGATCCAAACAAATTGAAGCGAATTGTGGACTTTTTCGAACACCCAGAAGCGCAATACCCCTCAGTTGTCTTCTTCATCGGGAAAAGGTCGAAGACCGATGCTCTGAAAGGCCTATACGCCAACAACAACACCACGAGACGGAGGTCTCACGGAATCGCAAATCTCCACGTTGACTTGGACACGATAAGGTCCGCATATCCCACCATCTTTGCTGACTGCACCCTCAACGCAGTATGTACTAGCCCTGTCGGTGCCTGGAATACATGTCATGCCAGCCATCACTATGTCGTTGGTGAAGACGACGAAAGCAACGGCATGCGGCTGAAGGATATTGTATCCCACATTCACGTTAACCTACTGTTTCCTTTCACTCATGTGGTGTGCTTGTTTGCCAGCGACTTTGGGGGTAATAAGGCCTGTGTGAGCTAGCAATCTATTTTTGCAAGCCGAGCTGCGACGCATCATGGACGAGGCGCGTAACGATCGCCTTGTGCCTACTATACCAAGGGTCTAGTTTAATGCCAATAAAGTCCTCTGCACAAGCACAGCCGTTAGGCTCGTTGCAACACATTCCACCTATGTGTGATGTTTAAAACTTGTATGAACACAATGCTCGCTATATGGATACACTAAGGCCTGGAGGAAAGTGCTAGGGAAAAGTACTTCTTGAAAACGAGACCAATCCGCTGTACCTAGAACTTAAAGAAATATTAGGAGACAACCTAGCGGATCACGGAGTGGCAGAATACTAGGGACACATAGAGATTTAATATCTACATTATAATGGCGACCTAACTTTAATAGAAGTGGATTAAAATAGTAGTGTCGAGAAAACTAGACTTGGACTAGTCTAAGAGTCGGAGCCTCGTACTAGCTGACAAACGCTAAACCTATTTCCCTCTAGATCGGTTACGTTAATGTAGAAGCCACTGTCTACCTAGAGTGTCTTTAGTAGGACCGTCTTACCGCCTAGTTTATAGATATAAGCTTTAGTCTAGTTTAATTTCGGGTTAGGGATAGATCTATTTCTAAACTAAGGGATAAGAGGCCTCACCTTTTTAAGCGACTCGACTATATAGTAGATAGTGACGCCCGAGCCTAGGGTTTATATATTAGGCCCATAATCCTCGGGCATCTTAACGAGGCCGCTACCTAGACCTAAAATTACCGATCTATTAAGGCATTATTCTAACTACGTAAAGGGCTAGGACTCTCTCTCTTACCCTTAGGGTCCTTGAATTGGAACGAGGCGACGTAATACTTAGGGTCTAAGGGATTATGCCTCTATATCTATGTAGGGAAGAGGCTACTATAGAATGTCTATAGGCGCTACTCTTAGTAAGATAGTAAGGGGTAGGGCCGCCGGGGAATAATCTAGTAGTAGTCTTCGCTAACCTACTTTAAGATTTTTAATATCGCGGGTAGGAATTTCAACCTAGTACGGAGAGCCTTCGGTAGGTAGGGTCTAGGCCTCGGCTTTAGAAGATATTATATCGAGTAGTTAGTAGTAGACTATTAGTCCTCTAAGTAATTAATAGATTAATAGATTTTAAAAAGAGTATACTAGATATAATAGAAATCGAGAAATGGAAAATTGAAAGCGGCATCGATCCGCTCTCTTTTATATAATGTAAGATGAGATAGAACTTATTCGCTTAGCATAGTAAGGATCGGTAACGCGTCTAAACTATTAACGGTATCGTAACTATTACGCGCTAGTATAGGACCGAGCCCCGCCTAACCCTACCTTCTTTATACTTTAAGGAGAAATCGTAATTAGACGTAGACGGAGTAGTATTATACCTACTACATTAGCGAGGATGTATTTCCGTTTAAGGCCTAACTAGTTCCTAGGGTATCCCCTTATATATTTAATAGACCTCTCTCCTATATAAGAATATCCCTTCCTAGCTACGTACGGTGTATTAGGGCTCGAGGCGCTTAGTCATAAGAGAAGAGAGAAGGGGCCTTAGCATAGAAGAACAAGTAAGGGAGGAAGAAAGTAGACGATCGAAGAGACAAGCAACGTAAAAAGGAGTAACCCAATATACGCGAGCTTACGTTAGACATTAGATAGTAGTTATAAGAGTATAGTTTATAGAATTAAGAGCGTTTTTCCTTCTACGAGTTCGGCTATATAACTATATAGCCTAAATTTTAGTAGTAGTAACCTTTACGAATAAAGCTATTATAGCTTTATATACGTCTATTACGAGAAGTCTTAAAAGTATAGTCCTTTAGCGGGCTTAAGACTATAGAAATCGATAGCGTTACTATTCCTCCGCTAATATAGATAAGTAAAGAGTATTATTTTAGTTATAGCTACTATAGTATTCGTTTTAACGTCGATTAGTTCTTATCCTACGGTTCTAGAAGAGAAAGAAACCCTAGTAACGTAGCCCTACTTCCTTATTCGACCTATAGAATAGGCGAGAATATATACTAATTTAATCTTAATATAAATAGTATTTCTTAAGAGAACGAACGAGTATTATAAGTATATTATCTTATAAAGGACCTTAGAACTATAGGAAAGACGACTACTAGCGGTTAGACCTAGGAGAAAACTATCCTAGAAGGTTAAAAACTACGAAAGAACGAAGTATTAGTTTAACTTTAAGAACGACGAAAGAATAGGTATATAATACTTCCGAAACTATCGGAGAAATATTTTATTAAGAAAGCTTTTTCCTAACTTAAAACTAAGCGGAAAAGTTTAGGAACGACTTTACTAGAAATTCTCGAGTACCTTATTCGCTTAGTTAAATTAAGATGTTTATTTAGAACGCGTAGAAGTAAATCCGAGGACGAATATAATCCGAGCGTAAGGTATCCGAAAAGCTAAGAATAATCGTAGATATCTAACTAAAATTCGTTTCGGCTATATAACTATATAGTCTAACGAGACGAGTCTTTAGAAACTAATAAGTATCTTAATAATTCTTTTAGTATTATAATAGATAAGAAAAATAACTAAGTAGTAGATTAGTTATTTTATTTTTAAGTACGAAATCGAGAAAAGGATTAATAAAATAGCTATTAGAAAGACGATATCTAGTAACTTAAGTAAGGTAAGACTTAGTAAGGAGTAGAAGATCTAGAGACGAGAAATATCTACTAGATTAAAGTTACCGAGACTAATAAGTTCTTTAAGAAGATAGGGTAAGGTAAGAGAACCTTCGCTCGCGTAGATATCTAATATAGTAGGATTAATAACTTTATTATCGATAATAGCCGTTAAAACTCCGTTAAGTTTAGGAGGAAAGTTACTAAGTATAAGCGGTTTCGTAGTACTAATATTATAGACTAGTATACTATCTATAGGAGTTTCTTTCTTTAATAGTCGTAACGTTATAGAGTTTCTTCGTTCTTTTAATAATTTTTATAACGATTATAGAGTATCTATAGGAAGCCGAGTTAATCGAGTCCTTCGCTACTATAATTTAAGAATCTTAATATACTTAAGATCGATAGAAGAGTATAATAATAAAGACTAGAAGAAGTTAAAAGATTTTATATATAAAGAATAGGAAGATAGCGATAATAAGTAGAGAATAAAGACGCTTATATTCCTTTAGGGACTCTCTAAGCGCGAGAGAGATAATAAATATAATATTAAAGGATATTACTACTAGTTTAGGCTATCGGTAAATACGTTAATTATAGAGAATTAGCTTACCTAGTACTAAGCTAGAATAATATTCCTCTAAGGACTACTAGACTAGATATAAAAGAAGATTATAATTAGTAAGAAGATTAATATTAAAGACGCGAAATTACTATAATTTAAGGAAATCTATAAGTATACTATAGAGATTTAGAAATCGTAGGAAGGCCTAGAGGCTCTAAAAAAGGTTCTAGAGTAAGAGGAAGTTAAAGATCTTATAGAAAGTATTAAATAGAAATCGTCTATCTAGTTCGAGAAGAAAACGATCTATAAATAGCCTATAAAGAGATTAGAGTCTACGAGCTCTACGAGAGAAGAAAACTTAATAACCTTCTAGCGTACGAATTCTATTTTAAGAAAGTATCGTAATAGACTTCTTTAG